ATGATAAAGGAATAGAACCAGCCCCAAGAACTGGGGTAGAAAGACCGTTAGCAACCTTAATAGTATTTCTAGGAGAAGTGGTATAGGAAGCAAACAGTTAAGAGTCATTGGTCATATGATCTGAAGCTCCTGAATCTATGATCCAAGGGTTAACAGAAGGAACAAGAGTGGTACTCAAAGTGAATCCAGAATTACCTGTGCTGGCTAAGAAAGTAAAAAGCATTATTAGCCAGAGAAACTTGTTGAGTAGATTGATCTACTAGAGAAGGGACAGAAGCTTGAGAGTCTGTAGAGGTATGATGAGCTTGAGGTCCTAGATTGCTCCCCTATTTTTTTTTTTGTAGTTCCCTTTTTTTTCCGAACAAACCACTCTGGATACCCATTCAATTTAAAACTTGTTTCTCGCACATGATTGGTACCGTTACAGTAGGTGCAGTTCCTGTTGCAAGAATTTTTTAACCTACAAAATACTGATGGTGATTGAAAATTACCAGAAGTCATATCTGAACCCATCAGCAAAGACTGAGGAGAAGCACCAACCAACATAGCAGATCCATTATGAAATTTTCAAGCCATCATAGTAGTTTGACGAAGCTCTTCACGGCGTACAAAGGCGAAAGCATTACGAAGATTGGGAAGAGGATCTTGAGCCAAGACTTGACTCCGAACCTGGTCCAAACTAGGATCAAGACCAGCCAAAAAATCATATAAACGATCCTTCTCAATCTCCTTTTTCTGGGTGGCAACATCTGTGGCACACTTCATTACACTCGGACGAAGGTAGTCCAATTCCTGCCAAATAAGTTGAAGAGCACCATAGTAATCAGCCACAAACTCGCCATTCTGGCGTGTCTCATGAGCCCGGCATCGAAGTTCATACATATGTGAAGCATCCTTGCCAACAAAATAGGTTTGGAAAACTGCATCCCAAACATCATGAGCAGTAGAGAGACAAAGAAAAACAACCCTAACGTTAGAGGTCATTGAATTAAGAAGCCTAGATTTAACCATGGCATTATCCTCCAACCAAGTAGAGTAAGCAGCATTTGTTTCATCGGTTTTAAGTTTTTTTTTTTCCTAGTTAAATTCTGCACTTTTCCTCTTCCTGTGATATACATCTCCACACTCTGAGACCACATGGAGTAATTTGAGCCATCCAATTTGTCTAGGGTGATTTCTAGAGACATGTTGTCCTACTGCACAATCATAGTAGTCGGAGAAGGGGTAGTAATAAATTTTTTGTCGCCCATGTTGAGAGTGAATGGGAAGAATAGCAATAATCGGCAGAAAGATTGCATAGCAGCGATAGTAAAGTAGTTTCCAGCGACAATGGCAACGGCAAACTTTTCAAACCAGATCAGAATTGGCCGGGTAATATGTTAGGGTAAAAATCATTGGAGGAAAAACAGAGGAAAAGTTTTAGGATCAATGCTTTGATACCATGCTGGAATAGAGCAGATTATTTTATTCTTCTCCAATATGGAGGTATATATAGCTATACAAGGCAATACAAAAAAGGAAAAGATTTACAATTAACTAATACAGCTAATCTAATTAATAGCTACTATAAATAACTAAAAAAGGACAACTAACCCCTAAATGTACACACATTAACAATAAGTAAAAATAATTTATAAAAATTTATATAATCTTATTCTACCCTTAATTATTTTGAAGAGTGCTACTAATGGTCCATATCTTTTCTCTTTGAGCCCCATCTAAATATTTTACTTTTTATTTATTTTTCTTTAAGGGTCTTTTACACATGCTAAACAAACTTAAAAAGATTGTACTCTTTATTACACTCACTTTCATGCAAGATGTACAATTCTTTTAAACTTCTCAACATGTGCCTTAAGGATACATGTTAACAAAATCATTTCTTTAAGCACCAATCTTAATCCCAATTCTACCTTCATTCCTTACCTTCATTCATAATGCATGTGTCCCATTGGTCCACTTAGAAAATATGAGGAAGTTTTACTTAGAAAATATGAGGAAGAAGAACTCCGAAAATATGAGGAAGAAGGAATATATTTCTGTTATATTCAAAACTTCTTATTTTACAAGACCAAATGACACTCCTTATATAGGAGATATTACAAACATCATTATAACCCATTATATGCCACTTACATATTATATATTACCACTATCTACCACTATCATATTATATACATGCCACTATCTACCACCAACACCACTATCATATTATATACATGAACACAAATTTCCAGCAATTGTTATGTACTTCCTCTCTGGATTTGGTGGCCTATGCTGATTTTGATTGGGCTGGTGATGTTATTGATCGCAAGTCCACGTCTGGTTTCTGTATGTTTCTTGTTGATTCCTTGATCTCTTGGAAAAGAAAGAAACAAATTGTTGTTGCTCGCTTTACTGCCGAAGCTGAGTATCGTGCTATGGCTCATGCTACTGCTGAAGTTGTCTAGTTTCGTTGTCTTCTCTCTGACTTGGGCGTCCCTCAGTCTTTTCCAACCTCTCTTTATTGTGACAACCGCAGTGCTATTCAAATTGCTCATAACACTGTCTTCCATGAGCGGACCAAGCACATTGAGATTGATTGTCACTTCGTTCGTCAACATCTGCAGTCTAGCTCTATCTCTCTTCCTTTCATCTCTTCGGCTCTACAACTTGCTGACTTCTTTACCAAGACTCACACCACTGCCCGGTTTCAATTTCTTCTTGGCAAACTCTTAGTGTTTTCTGCTAAAATACCTTGAGTTTGAGCGGAAGTGTGAGAATATTGTGTATATATGTATATATGGCAGTGTAGTGAGATTGTAATTTGTTTCCTTTTTGGTTTTAGGGTTAGGAATACTATATAATCAGATGTATCCTTTGTATTTTTTATCAATTGAATATACAGTTTCATTCAAAAAATTTACAGGCACAACGCATCACTTAAGGGGAACGACGTAGCATTTAATCGATTCAAAGTAGGATTCATTGTCATAAGGGATCTGAGAGGCTGTTTTACACGTTAGCTGTCGGCTACCTAACACACAACTCTCCTCCTTTATTCGGACTTAGGACCGGCAGAGTTATTAAACAACTCCGGCGGAGTTACACAAAAAAGATACAACAAAAAATTTAAAAAATGATACAAAAATTATTACTAGTTAATCTATTATCAAAATCTTACGATTCGAGATGCGATTCACGATTCGATTTGCAATTTTTGCAAAATCGATATGAATCTACGAGTGAATCTATTTTGGAAGTGAATCTCTAGTGAATCTCACGATTCATAATCGATTCACAATTCTATTCACTTTTTACAATTGATGCAATCCCTAAAACTATCATGTCCAACATATTTTATCTTTTTCTTCATTTTTTTTAGTTAAAATGATATAATACAACTTCTAATAGTGTGTTATATGCAAATAACAATATATGCACATGATTTGTTATTATTTGGGAGATCAAAGATTTTTTAATAAGATTTAATTAGATTTAGTCAAACCCAACATGTTTTTTAACTTTTTCTTCTCACATTAAAAAAAAAAAAAAAAAAACCGTATTTTCTAAAGATATTTAAGATTAAAGTAATTTGCAATATGAATTATCTATTACTATTTTATTGAAATGAATATAATTTAGTATTATATGGGTGAGGTTAGTTAAAGTCAATGGTTCTACAAGTTTTTTTATTTTTTTTTTATTTTAAATAAGCATGTATACCTTTTAAAATATTTTAAGTTTTAAAATAAAATATTTCAATTAATTATTTTTTATTTGTGTCATTGGTCCTTGTAAAAGTATGTATACTTATGAAATATCAATATCGTTATTAAGTTATTGTTACTTGGAAATTGAGAGTTCGTTTTCGTTTACTTTTTTATTTTATTTATTAAGAATGGTTGATAAACAATATCTAATAAAAAGAAAAGTTAATATGGTGATCTTACATAAGAACCTGTGTTAACTTCTTATCTGTTAGACCACGTGATCATCATTTAAAACAACATTTTCATTATTTAAGTCTAAATATGTTATATTTATAAGATATATTTAATATCTAAGTGTGTATATATTTTTTCTAAGTAATTTAGAAAAGGGTGATTGAATCTTTAAGATTTACTATTTGATTCGATTCACGATTCGGTACAAGGCCATATCGATTCACGATTTGACAACTATAATTAATGTCAATAAACCTCAATTATTTTTAAAGAAAAGCCTCACTTCTATTTTTTACCTTAGGCCTACAAAAGGGTTGGGCCGCCCCTGACCTTCATATCTCTCTGTATTGGCCAAAAACCAAAGCATATGTATTTGTTGTATTTTTATAATTGCAAAAATACCCTCTAGGCACAATATAATTGTTCTGGTATATTTGTATTTTTTTAAAATTACATTTTTGCCCCAAACGTACCCACAAAATACCCAAAATGTACCCATGCTGTACCCGAGTCTTATTTGAGTTGTATCCATGACATATCACATACCCAATATGGGTACTCATACCAAGTACGTACCCTGTATTTGTATGACCATATTTTTCGAGTATTTGAAACTTTAGTTATTTATATTCTCAACAATTACTTCTCCATTGTGAACGTGTGTGTGTTTCCCTTGACCAACCAACCACTTTTACTTAGTTTTTAATTATCATGGTTTAATAATGTCTGCTTTGTCAGAATAAGAAATTTGTTCAGTCTGTCTTGACCTGCAGAACTTTTTTTTGAAATATAAAAACTTTTTAAATTTTCAGGTATTAGGAGTTTAGCTAAAAATATGTCCTAAAAATAGAAGGACAAAAGAAACGAAGACTTACCTTGCCAGTGCTTGTACCATTTAGCAGGCATTATGGAACTTGGTTAAAAACCTGTCAAAAGTGACGTGGAACTTGATATACAAGTGCTTCATGCTGCCAGTCCTTCTCTGTTGTTGGTCTATATTTATATCTACTCTTTTGATAATTCTATAGGCATGGGTCCATTTTGAAGCTTTTGAGTAACCATTATTTCCTGCAGACAATATGGCAAACTTGCCCAAACTTGTGGAGGATATTGTACAGACATCAATTAACACAGGTCCTCGTGGAGCCCTAAGGCTAGCTCAAGGTATTCAAGCAGTTATTGGGGTAGGTAGTGAGTGGCTGGCAGATGTATCAAAGGTAAGTGAAGTTCAGTTTTTCTTTTGGCAATTTGTTATGAAATCTTCATTATTTTATGTTGTCAAAGTGTTGCCTTCTCATTTATCTGTTGGTTTTGTTAGGATTGGCAGAAACAAAAGATTTGATTTAAAGATAATGCCTACTTTATATCATTTTGAAACAACGTTAACTACTGTCTTTCTTGATTTGCCAGTGTATACATGTTTGCATTAGTTAACATTTCACCTTGTATGCACAACAGCTTATCCAATTTCTCAATGAATAAATGAACACATCTAACTGGAGTTACTTTCATGTGATTGAAATTATTGATTGAATAATGTCCATATGATGCTTATAGAGTAATGGGTCTTGATTTGTGGATGCATGCATTGTGTTACGATTTCTGTTTATATATTGTTCTAACTCTTAGCTAATGGTGTCAGTTCATTTTTATCTGCATTTCTTCTGACATAGTTTTTCTTTCATACAAAAACTATACGATTTAGATAGAAGTGGTAACAGCCTTTAATTTTCTGTAGTCAGCAAATTCATCCACTGGATTAACAACTCAGATGCAGCTTGGGTTATTATCCCCTGTTTACCTCAGGAAATTGTTTGAACGCATGGGCGCCACCTATATCAAATTAGGTCAGGTAAGTTTGAGGGTCATTGCTTTTCTGGGTTTCTTTAAAGTGGTAAACCTTTAAATAGAAAACAAAAGTGAACTTTTGTTTGTCTGATACTTTGATTTTCAGTTGTAAGCTGTCAGTTTTACTTATACAGATAGAGTGTTGCAATAATGTGTAATCATTTTGTTTAAGTTTAGCTTTGCTACTTTGAATGTTCACACTTACGTTATGTTGACTCAAGTACAAGTGTCGGGTGTTGGTATTTTAAATGTCACATTCATCTAATTCTCATTTCCAAAAATACGAGGACACAGATTTTATATTTTGAAAATTTTGTTTTGTTTTGTTTTTTAGATGAAATGGTGTTTACAAACTACTATGAAATATTTTATGCATACGATGTGAGTCTTATGCATAGATATATAATAAAATCAATTATTTATACATATTTGATGGGTGTATGTCTAACTACACATGTCAGACACATATCTCATACCCTTGCCAATGTGTCAAGTGTCTTACATGAATGATTCACAAATTTCAAAGAGTTCATGTTACTTAGGTTCACACAACAAATTTATTCCATCAATAAATCAGTCGGTTATTTTTTTTTTAATTTTTTTTTGGGTCTTGGTCTACTAACAATATTTTTCTTTTTTTCAATTAATCTGCCACTAATGCTTCATTTATCTTGGGATTTCCAGTTCATAGCATCAGCACCCACATTATTTCCACCGGAATATGTCCAGGAATTTCAGTATTGTTTTGACAGAACTCCAGCAGTTCCCTTTGAAGAGATCAAAAAAATCATGCTTGAGGAGTTAGGGAGACCACTAGATAGTATCTACGAGTATGTTGATCCCACACCTATTGCCTCAGCCTCAATAGCACAGGTTTAGAGCTGTTTTGACTCTATTTTCTACACTGGTTTATTTGTGGGAGAGTAAAGCATAGTTAATGAATGGAATTTTAAATTGTAATCTCCAGGTTCATGGTGCAAGGCTCAGAGGCTCCCAAGAGGATGTAGTGATCAAGGTTTTGAAACCCGGAATAGAAGATATATTAATGGCAGATCTGAACTTTGTCTATGTTGTTGCTCGCATTTTGGAGTTCTTGAATCCTGAGTTGAACCGTACATCCTTGGTATGATGTAGATTTGTTCAACAAGTGATTAGTATAATTGTCTTGGCTGGAAAATTATGTAGACCTTTTAAGTGATTTGAAAAACTTGGAAAATCTCTCATTGATTTGAAGAATATTCTTGCTATAGTTTACTTAAGTGACCCAGTAAAAGAAAATATCTTCTGCAAAAGACTGCGATGCCAAGTTGAGACCAATTTTCTCCTTTGTAAACCTACAAACACAAAACTGTCACAACTTTGAAATATACTTGAACCCTACTCTACTGATGCTGGCCAGAACCCTTCCTCATTCCTGACTTTCTCAAATTATGGGCTACAAGAGTGATGGCTCATTAGGGTATTATTATTTCAGTTAGTTCTTTCTTCACTTATTTTTTGATCATGAAATAATGGATTTAAATATTTTTGTCATCAATATCTTTTATCTTTTAAAATAATGGTGGCTTGAAGTTCTTGCCATAATACTTTCATTTCTTAAGTAGGTTGGCATTGTCCAAGACATAAGGGAATCAATGCTTGAAGAAGTTGACTTCAATAAGGAGGCTGTTAATATTGAGTCCTTTAGGAGATATTTGGAAGCCATGGGACTTACAAGGCAGGCTACAGCGCCGAAAGTATATCAGCAGTGCAGCACCCGACGAGTTTTGACAATGCAAAGGCTTTATGGAGTTCCTCTTACTGACTTGGACTCCATAAGCTCACTTGTTTCAAGTCCAGAGGCCACTCTTATAACTGCCCTAAACGTATGGTAGGGCTGAATGCTATATCTGCAGTTTGTTTACTTGAGACTTTTGATGTAAATTACATTTGGTACATAATCCGTAAGATTTCAATCTGTGTGAAATTTGTGCAGGTTTGGTAGTTTGCTTGCCTGTGAAACCTTCCATGCAGATGTTCATGCAGGCAATTTGTGGTTGTTACGTGACGGTCGTATTGGGTTTCTTGACTTTGGTATGTGTTTACCTTCTGCATTGGTTAATTTGTAGTTTAATCAGTGGCAACTTTGTTCCTTTAATTTGCCACAATTTTCATGTTCAGTCTTAATGAATTCGTCAATCGTTATGTAATTCACATGATATGACTTCTAATTAGCTGTTGAATCATTATATAATCACTGTTAGTATATTATTATTTGGGTTATTATTTTGTGATTATTCTATGTCTTAGGGCTCACTTGTAATTATTAACTTCATTAATATAAATAGGGGATGATATCATAATCATTTCCTAATCTTGGTATTCTCTAAAAATAACATGGTATTAGAGCCTAACCCTAAAACCTAAGTTCCTCTACCCCTACAATACCCACCGGAGCCACCACAGAGCCACCACACAGTCATCTTCCACTGTCACACCCTTAGGACCATCGTCACTCGCCGACGAAGCTAAGGTCAGGAGGCCTGACGGCAGTGGCTGACTGGGCTGGAAGAGCCCTAGGCAGCCCCAACTGGGTGTGTCACCGACGAGTTAAGGCCAGGAGGCCTGACGGCAGTAGCCAACTAGGTTGGGAGAGCCCTAGGCAGTCCTGACTGGGTGTGTCTGTCCTTGTCGACCATTTGTTGTCTTTGTGATAATGTATTGTTGAGTTCTCTTCGTGACTTGGAATCTCTGTTTGTGGTCTGTATTCAACTCACCTCTGCCTCGTTTTCCTTTCAATTTAATAAAAAAAAAGAGAAAAAAAAGTGCAGTAAAGAAAAAAAAAGGTTGATGAGTTTTTTAAGTCTTTAATTTTCTTAGTAGTCATTGTGTTTGTATTCCTCAACTTTTTGGGTTTGTGATTGGCACTAGTTTTGTTGAGGATTCAGTAGTACAGTGTCTTATGACAAATTCCATCGGTGTGTCCACTATTTCTCAAACACCTAAGAGTGAGAGTTTCCCTATACCTACTACTATGACTGAGAACCCCAACCCTAGTCTTAAAATCACTACCTCTCTATTTAATAGTCAGAACTGTCTTGTGTGATCACAGAGTTTGACTATGTTTTTGAAGAGCAGAGGGAAGTTGGGGTATGTAGATGGTAGGATACAGGCATCCAGCACAACTGACCCAGGTTCTGACTAATGGGAGATTTCTAATTCTTTGATTATAGGTTGGCTTATTCATTCGATGGTACCAGATATTGGCGAGGGCTACTTATCTATGGAGACTACCCAGGATGTTTGGGATGTTATGGCTACCATCTATTCCCGCAAAGGGAATTTCTCATAAGCATTTGAGTTATTGAGAGCTTTATTCAGGGGGAGCAGACGGTTCTTCAATACTTAACCTTCCTCACCAATGGCTGGAAATGCCTTGATCACCTGCAGGATTATAAACTTGTTTGCACTACTGATTCAATCGGGTACAGGAAGTTCATTGCACAGGAAAGGGTCTTCAAGTTTTTGGCCGGTCTCAATGTGGAGTATGATCCGATTCGGAGTTGGGTTCTGAGTATGGATATTCTTCCTTCACTTCAGGAGGCATTTGCCTATGTACAGAATGAGGAGAGTTGCCAGTCTGCTATGATGTCCCCTGTCTCTACTGACCGCTTAGCATTATTGTCTACCTCTAGAGATGGCCTCAGCTTGACTCTCATCCCTCCGTCTGCCGCTAAGGAGTCTGTATTCTATGATTACTGTAAGAAGCCACGGCATACTCGTGAGACGTGTTGGAAGCTTCATGGGACTCCATCCGGGGGTCGAGGTGATCGGTCTGGTTCTAAAGGAGGTCGGTCAGGCCAGTCTCGAGGATGTGGCTTCTATCCACGGGCTCATCAGTCTAGTGTCGTTGATACACTTGATTCTACTTCTGCTTCCGTTGGCCAGACTTCTGATGGTCTCTCTGGCATGCCTACTCATGAGCTTGAGGATGTTCTGTGTCACTTGCTGGACCGCCGGTCTTCTACTGCTCTCAGTACATCTTCCTTGTCATTTGTCCGCTCAGGTAACTTAGTCTCTTCTCCTTGTGTTTTCCTGTCTCATAAGTCTTTGCCCTAGATTATTATTCTGGTGCCTCAGATCATATGTCTGGCTCCTCTGATCTTTTCTCTGCCTATAAGCCCTCTTAAGGTCAGGACAAAGTTAGGATTGTAAATGGTACTGTTTTTTCTATTTCTGGGAAAGGTTTAGTCCATGTCACTCCTACTTTACCTCTATTCTATTCTCCATGTTCCCAATGTTTCTGTTAACCTGCTATTATTGAGTTGTCTTATAAAGGATTTGAATTGTAATGACATTTTTTCCTGATCATTGTCTTTTTTAGGACCTTGTCACGAGGAAGACGATTGACAGTGGTAGTGCAGAAAATGGTCTTTACTTCCTGGATTAACCGGACAAGCTTGCTCATTCTTCCACCACGGGTCCTACTACCACCGATGATATATGGCTGTGGCATCAGCGTCTTGGGTATCCTTTTTTTTATTTACTTAAGCATTTATTTCTATCTGTTTTTTCAAACAATAATGTGTCTGAATTTCTTTGTGAGTCTTGTCAGCTTGGAAAACAACATAGAGTTTCTTTTGCTCCCAGTTTTAATAAAAGTTCAGTTCCTTTCTTATTAATACATTTTGATGTTTGGGTTCTATCTCGTGTTGTGTCTGTGAAAGGTTATCGTTGGTTTTTTACATTTATTGATGATTTTTCTTGTACTACTTGGGTGTATCTCATGAAAGACAAGAGTGACGTTTTTTCTGTGTTCTGCAATTTTCATAAGATGATTTGTACTTAGTTTGGGGCCACTATCAAAATATTCGGTTCTGATAATAGGGGTGAATACATAGATTCTTGGTTAGGGCAATATTTTTCTACTCATGGCATTATCCATCAGACCTTTTGCACCAATATCCCTCAACAAAATGGGGTGGCAGAATGTAAGAATCTCCATCTTCTTGACATGGCTCGGTGCATGTGTTTTTCTATGAGTGCCTCGATCCTACTGGGGCGACGCTGTTCTCACCGCTACCCATTTTATTAATTGTCTTTCTACCCAGGCCTTGCAAAAACAAGCTCCTCTTCAAATCCTCCTCGGTTCCTAGTCCCTGTTTTTTATTCCTCCCAACATATTTAGTTGTCTGTTTTGTCCATAATCATCTCCTACTCGTGGTAAGTTGGACCCTTGTTTTTCCAAATTTGTTTTCCTTGGGTACTCTCCTACTCAAAAAGGGTATAAGTGTTACCACCCTCCTTCTCGTAAGTGGTTTATGTCCATGGATGTCACATTCTTTGAGTCCCAATCCTATTTCTTGTCCTCTCTGGTGTCCTAGTCCTCTCTTCAGGGGGAGTCTTGGTGTGAAGTGATTCCTGTGATTCCTATGGTGGAACCAGTTGTTCTTGCACCACCACCTCCTACTGGGACTACAAAACCCAATGTCACTAAGGATAGGGAAGGGCAAGTTTATGTCAGGGACAAAAACAAACAGAAAGTTAACTGGATGCAAGAGACCACTTCTGCTCGACTGCCATTTCCTGTTTCTGATGAGATTCCAGGTAACTTTGAATCTCTTGAGTCCATTGATCTTGATGTTCCTATCTATGAAGCATGGACACTCCAAAATTGATGCCGTGGTGATGTTCGACACGCGGACACGCCGGGGACACGTACGAGACACGCCAGATGGCGTGTCCCTTTAATTTAATGTTTTTTTTGGAAGGGGACATGGCGGGGACATGCGTGTCCACATTTGGACATGCTATGGGACACGACGGGGCTCTTTTTTGAATTTGTTATATGTATTTGGGGTCAAAGTGTAATATTTAAAAAGTAAAAACTGAGGGTGAAGAAATATAGTGAACCTGCGAAGACCTTCTGAATAGAAGCCCTCTCTCTCTCAGTCGATCGAAGCTCTCTCTCTCAGTCGTCTCAGTCGAAGCCCTCTCTCAGTCGATCGAAGCCCTCGTCTCAGTCGAAGCCCTCTCTCTCTCTCTCTTTGTGGTCTGTTTTCGACTTCGAAGGTAAACACTGATTTATAGTTTTATTTTTATTTTTATTTTTATTTTTATTTTTTTTATACGTTTATATATATATATATATATATATATGTAAGAGTTATTTTAATTTTTATTTCTTTATACGTTTATATATAAGTTATTTTGATTTTGATTTCTTTATACCTTTATTTATAAATTTATATATATGTAAGATTTTTTTTTTTTTTTTTTATATATCTAAAACTAAAACTGTAGTTTTTAAAAAAAAAAATTAATTATAGGTTTATATATATATATACACAATGTAAATTCTTTTTTTTTTTTTAATCCTTCTAATGTTAATGTTAATTAATAGGAAAAATGTCTAGGTAAAATAAAATAAAAAAAATTAATTGGAACACATTATTTAAAAAATATAATAAATAAATAAAATAATTAATGTGTATTAAAATAAAAATATTTATAAAAAAATTAAAAAATTTGCCATGTCCCCTGCCGTGTCCGGGTCCCCATTTTTTAGAAATTGCCGTGTCCCGTGCCCGTGTCCGTATCCGTGCTTCATAGGTTCCTACTACCAAGAGAAAGGATATGAGATCTTGTGCTAAACAGCCCATCTCAAATTTTGTGTCCTACTCTCATTTGTCGTTCTCATATAGAGCGTTTGTGTCAAATATTTTCTTTGTTAGCATTCCTAACCATTTTCAGGATGCTCTTGCTACCTCTGAGTGGAAACTTGCCATGATTGAGGAAATGAAAGCACTTGGGAAGAATGACACTTGCGAATTGACTGAGTTATCTAAGGGCAAACAACATGTGGGATGCAAATGGGTGTGTACTATGAAACACAAAGCGGATGGTTCTATTGAGCGTTACAAAGCTAGACTTGTGGCAAAAGGGTTCACTTAGACATATGGTGTTGACTATCAGGGGACCTTTGCACCTGCGGTTAAGATGAATTCAGTCAGAGTACTTCTCTCTTTAGCAGCTAATCTAGATTGGCCACTTCATCAGTTTGATGTAAAGAATACCTTTTTCCATGGTGACCTCGAAGAAGAGGTATATATGGACATTACTCTTGATTTTGAAGATCATTAGACAAAAGGCAAAATATGCAGGCTTTGGAAGTCATTATATAATTTCAAACAGTCTCCAAGAGCTTAATTTGAGAGATTCACTCAGGCTATGCTTAAATATGGCTTCAAACAGAGTCAGGCAGATCACACCTTGTTTGTGAAACATTCCTCACTTGGTAAGACTACAACACTCATTGTTCATGTAGATGAAATACTTCTTACTAGCGATGATAGTGAGGAAATTCCTCTGTTGAAGAAATATTTAGCTAGTGAGTTTGAAATCAAAGACTTGGGGAGCTTGAAGTATTTTTTGGGAATTAGAATTGCTCACTCCAAGGATGAGATATTTATCTCACAGAGGAAGTATATGCTTGATCTGTTGAAAGAAACTAGGATGCTTGGCTGCAAGGCTTGTGACACTCCACTGGAGCCCAATCAGAAATTGGGGGATGATGAAGAAGGAGCAGCAATTGACAGGAGGAGCTATCAGCGATTAGTGGGTAAGCTCATTTACCTATCTCACTCCCGTCCTGATATTGCTGTTGCTGTCAGTGTGGTTAGCCAGTTATGCATGCTCCTCATCAGATTCACTTCGAAGCTGTCATGAGAATTTTGAGGTACTTGAAGTCCGCTCCTGGTAAGGGTCTTTATTTTTCAAAGTATGATCATCTTTGTGTGGACGTCTATACAGATGCTGACTGGGCTGAATCAGTGACTGATAGGAGATCGACTTCAAAGCATTACACTTTTGTTGGAGACAACCTAGTTATTTGGAGGAGTAAGAAACAGAATGTGATTGCCATGTCAAGTGCAGAAGCTGAGTTTAGAGCTCTGGCACAAGGGGTGTGTGAGCTCTTATGGATCAAGTTATTGTTGAGTGATCTCAGTACTGATCAGACGGACTCCATGCGGTTATACTGTGATAATAATGCCGCTATCAACATGACAAGAAAAAGCATGTTGAGATTGATCTCCACTTCATTAAGGAGAAACTCACTAGTGGCACAATACGTACTCCCTTTGTGTAGTCTTGTGAACAACTTGCTGACATCCTCACTAAGGGAGTTGGGAGTAAGCCATTTCATGATCTCTTAGGCAAGTTGGGCATGAGAGATATCTTCGCACCAGCTTGAGGGGGAGTGTTAGAATAATATATTACTATTTGGGTTATTATTTTGTAATTATTCTATGCCTTAAGGCTCCCTTGTAATTATTAACTTCACTAATATAAATAGGGGATGATATCCTAATCATTTCCTAATCTTGGTATTCTCTAAAAATAACAATCACTTCATTTGTTTCCCTATTAATTGACATCTGATGTCTTGAATAAAATTTGAATACAGGAATTGTTGGGCGTATATCCCCCAAAACATGGGCTGCTATGGAAATATTTTTGGCTTCAATTTCAACTGAAGAATATGAGTCAATGGCATCTGCGTTGACTGAAATGGGTGCTACAAACAAGGATGTTGATACTAAGGCCTTTGCAAGAGATCTGGAAAAAATATTTTCATCAATACAGGTAAGCTTTATCATTTGCCATATCAAATCTTGGTTTGTTTTAAAAACACATTTTATTATTGTCCTCGATGTCCATGCTGTTTTTGATCATTACATTTGTTAGGGTAGGGGAGTCTGATGAGTGAGCATAGCTTAATAAACTAGTGTGAAGAAAGGTCTGGTGCAAGACCTTCTATGGATGATGAGGACACCTGAAATTATTAGTATACCCATTGCATTTTACTTCAGGGAAAAGAAAAAAATAAAATAAAAGAACAGTAGTATTGAAGTAAAAGTTTGAGCTGGTTTCAACCCATTCTATATGAGACTCTGTAGCCCAACCAAATATCCAGTCAATGGTTGATTGTTTACTGGGATTTAAGTTGTGGAAGGATTAGGATAGAATCTACTATGTAAGAAAGAAAGCTTCTATTTAAGAAAGAATGTGAGCCATTATAGGAATGTCATAACTAGTGGATAAGTGGTATCACTGTTGTATAATTGGTAATCTTAAAATGTTGTAACTGAAGTGAGAGCTTCCATACCCATGTTGATTTCTAAAGGGAGGACTTCTCAAAGGATCTGAGGGAGTCTGGGCCTATTGAATGTTGTAACACCAATCAGTTCTAAATCTATGGTTTTCTTTTATTGCAATGCAGGATTTGGATACAGAAATCATTGTTGCAACAGCCAGGGGAACAAATACCAATGCCACTGCTGCATCTGCTAATGTCGTTGTTGATGAGAGGCAGATGAATGCACTATTTCTTGACGTGGTAAGCTATTCTACTCTTGAACAGTCATGGATAATTTGAGTTATATGGGCACCTAAGGTAACATTTTGGTTTGTTTTCTAAGGCCTTTCACCATGGACCTGTCACTGGATGTTGTATTATGAACTTCACTGACAGACACCTTATTAGTTGCACATGAGGTGGTCTGAACACTTTTGGTTGCACGATCTAGTGTTCATCTTGCTTGGACATCTTGATCTAGTGTCTATGGAACAAGGGCAGACGAATTTCTAGGTCATTGTAACAGAACCCTTTAGGTTGTGTTTGGATCTAGGATTTGAGTAGCGATTTATGGAGAGAAAGGAAAATGTGAGGGCAATAGAAGCTAAATTTTCTCTTTATTTCCCTCACCTTTTCTTTTCCTTTCACAAATCTCTGCTCAAATCGTAGATCCAAACACACCGTTAGGTAGTCAATAGTCTCTTGGTGGGCATATGTATAGAATCTTCAGGAATTGTTGCGAGTTAGATTGTGACATTCAAGATCGGGGGATTATTCAAAATCCAAACACCAATTGGAAAATTGTCTTGAATGAGTTATGCAAATCTCTCTCTCTCTCTCGCGTTTAGTGGGAGCTACTTTATTTCTATCAAGTTTTTTTTATTATTTTTTCCTTTTTTTTTCCCCCTCATGTATTAAAAGTGTCATATGGGATGTTTTGGCATGAGGATGAGTAATACAATTTTTGAAGTACAAGTGAGAATTGAATTTGCATGTTTAATGAAGACAATAAGGAATAATGTCAGAAGAACTATTAGAAATTTAGAGAATTTGCTGAGACTCATATGCTGTAATAAGTTTTATTTTACTCAAGCTCAATGTTCCCTATTTTATTCAGCTTTCTTCTTTTATGTTCTCTTTTTGTTTCATAGGTTCGTGTTAGTGAATCATATGGCCTGAGATTTCCTCGAGAGTTTGCACTTCTCATGAAACAGCTTCTCTATTTTGATCGGTATACCCGGTTGTTAGCTCCCAATTTGAACATGCTCCAGGACCAGAGGATCACCATTGTGTCAAATCGAAGCAGCAGCAAAAGGAACATTTACCAATGAGGCGATCTCTATCATGTATGGCAATGATGTAATTTTCTGCTGGTATGTACTCTAGCTTTGTTTTTGTTCTACTACAACTTTTGTAAATATTGCCAAAAAGAATCACCCCGAAGTAATTTTACATACAATTCTACAGAAAATCAGACTTCTTTTGTTGCTGTTGGTATAGCATACATGAGAAAAATCAGTGGTTGATAAATTTGTCATCAAACCTGTAAATAACTAGTTAGCTCTATGATATTACATTTGCAGCATCCTATGATGTCAAATATAGATTGGTCTTTTTCCAAATATTCTCATAATACCATCCTAAGAGGCAGTTAACTTGCTTTGGCTTGGGTAAATGCCTCTCATCTTATACTGTAGAAATTTAATGTATAAAGAGAAATGATTGTATTATTGATTGATATATGTTGTATATTACACATGGTGAGTATGTTCTTTATATAGGAGATGTAGTAGGTGAAGTGGGTGGAGTAGGTGTAGTAGGTGGTGGAGTAGGTGAAGTGGAGTGTGTAGTGGAGTAGGTGAAGTGGAGGTGGAGTGGTGTAGTGGGTTAGGTTTAGTAGAGTAGGTTTAAGTGTACATTAACAGCCCCCCTCAAACTCAAGGAGGATAGGAACTAATCAACTTGAGTTTGAAGAGAGTAACAAAACAGGAAAGTAAACTGATAAATAAAATAAAACAGGATAGGAGACACGGTATGGTCGTGTCAGACCGATGTAGCAGACAGTTTATGGGGTCATGTCGGACCGTTGTAGCAGACACTGTGTGGTCGTGTCAGACCGATGTAGAAGACAGTTTATGGGGTCATGTCGGACCGATGTAGAAGACAGTTTATGGGGTCATGTCGGACCGTTGTAGAAGACAGTTTATGGGGTCATGTCGGACCGTTGTAGAAGACAGTTTATGGGGTCATGTCGGACCGTTGTAGAAGACAGTTTATGGGGTCATGTCGGACCGTTGTAGAAGACAGTTTATGGGGTCATGTCGGACCGTTGTAGAAGACAGTTTATGGGGTCATGTCGGACCGTTGTAGAAGACAGTTTATGGGGTCATGTCGGACCGTTGTAGAAGACAGTTTATGGGGTCATGTCGGACCGTTGTAGAAGACAGTTTATGGGGTCATGTCGGACCGTTGTAGAAGACAGTTTATGGGGTCATGTCGGACCGTTGTAGAAGACAGTTTATGGGGTCATGTCGGACCGTTGTAGAAGACAGTTTATGGGGTCATGTCGGACCGTTGTAGAAGACAGTTTATGGGGTCATGTCGGACCGTTGTAGAAGACAGTTTATGGGGTCATGTCGGACCGTTGTAGAAGACAGTTTATGGGGTCATGTCGGACCGTTGTAGAAGACAGTTTATGGGGTCATGTCGGACCGTTGTAGAAGACAGTTTATGGGGTCATGTCGGACCGTTGTAGAAGACAGTTTATGGGGTCATGTCGGACCGTTGTAGAAGACAGTTTATGGGGTCATGTCGGACCGTTGTAGAAGACAGTTTATGGGGTCATGTCGGACCGTTGTAGAAGACAGTTTATGGGGTCATGTCGGACCGTTGTAGAAGACAGTTTATGGGGTCATGTCGGACCGTTGTAGAAGACAGTTTATGGGGTCATGTCGGACCGTTGTAGAAGACAGTTTATGGGGTCATGTCGGACCGTTGTAGAAGACAGTTTATGGGGTCATGTCGGACCGTTGTAGAAGACAGTTTATGGGGTCATGTCGGACCGTTGTAGAAGACAGTTTATGGGGTCATGTCGGACCGTTGTAGAAGACAGTTTATGGGGTCATGTCGGACCGTTGTAGAAGACAGTTTATGGGGTCATGTCGGACCGTTGTAGAAGACAGTTTATGGGGTCATGTCGGACCGTGGAAAACACGGAGGCAGCACCGTCAAGGGCCGCTCAGGACGGAGGCAAGAAGAAGAGACCGGCGGCAGAGTAGAGAAGAAAAATCCCACTGTTCCGATTTGTGTTGGTTTTGTTTTTGTTTGTTTTGTTTTTGTTTTTGTTTTTTTTTTTTTTTTTTTTTTTTTTTTTTTTTTTGGGTGTAAAATGGTGATCGGGGGGAGCAGCCCCGACATGAATAAAATGAGTTTGGTGTGCAGTTCGTCTTCTTCTGCTTTTTTTTTTTTTTTTCAATGTATCGCAATGACATAAACAGAGAGGTAGTGGGAGAAAATAAAGGATAAAAGAAAATAAATGTGAAGAGAAGTAGGAGAATGTTAAAGTAATAAAAAAAGGAAAGGTGAGATGCAAAGTTGGGCGGATCCTACCACTAATGGAAAAGTAAGTAAAAGATATATACTAATGAAAAGTAATCAAAATATATATATATGTGGGTGTGTGGGTCTGGGTGGAAGGGTTGATAAAAAGGGTCAAAGAGCACATGGATTGTGGATGCTGAGTGGGTGCATAATAATAATAAAATGAATGAGTGGAGAGAGGGTTTTATGTGTAAATAAAAGAAGAGTGGTGGTTGGTCAGAGTGATGGGTGAGACATGGTGGGAACAAAGAGAATAAAAAAATAAAGGGTGAGGAACAGGATATGAGAGCCAGCAACTTCCCTGAGGAGGGTTCTCACAAAATGGACCCTTTTACTTGTTTTCCCCTTTCTATTAGAAGGGCGTGGAGCCAATTCCTTCTTGGTCACAACATGTCCTTTGTTTAGACCCATAAAGAGGCCAGTGTTAGGTTGCTTTGGAGCCATCACCAATCAGCTCCAACGACGATTTTTTGGGAAAACCCTCAATAGAAACTGAGGAGAGAGAGAGAGAGAGAGAGACTGCAAGAAGCCTACCAGAGGTGCAGATCATGCTCTCGCGGCATTTTCAGGGTATATGCAGCTCGGCGACACGTATTCAATGCTTGGGTAGCTGGATCGATCGATCGATTGTTATAAAGAGGGGTTGAAAATTCAGATGGAGGCTTTGGGAGACACAGATCCGAGAGTTGCAGAGACTTGCAGGTATTTGGCTGAGGCCCATGTTCAAGCAATGCAATTTGATGAAGCAGAAAATTTGAGCAAGACTCTTGAAATCCATCGTGTGCACAGTCCACCAGCATCTCTCGAGGAAGTGGCAGACCGCAGGTTGATGGCCCTCATATGTGAGGCTAAAGGAGATTACAAATCAGCTCTTGAACACCTTCTCCTTGCCAGCAGGGCAATGATTGCCAATGGACAAGAAAATGAGGTTGCTTCAATTGATGCCAGCATTGGCAACATCTACATGTCCCTATCTCGCTTTGATGGGCTGTCTTCTCCTACCAGAAGGCACTCACTGTCTTCAAATCATCAAAGGGTGACAGCCACCCTTCAGTTGCCTCTGTTTTTGTACGCCTTGCTGACCTATACTACAAGACAGGGAAGCTGCGAGAGTCCAGATCCTATTGTGAAAATGCCCTTAGGATATATGCAAAACCTGTGCCTGGAACCACTGCAGAAGAGATTGCAAGTGGGATGACAGAAATTTCAGCCATTTATGAATCTTTTAATGAACCTGAGGAGGCACTGAAGCTCTTGCAGAAGGTCTTGCGAGTTGATGGAGGTCTCAAATTGGTTGAGGTCCGGCGGGCGGTCAAGGCAAGGTTGCCGCCCGCCAGAAGGCGAAGAATACCAAGAGCTTAACCTATTGCTCTGATACCATGTAGAAATTTAATGTATAAAGAGAAATGATTGTATTATTGATTGATATATGTTGTATATTACACATGGTGAGTATGTTCTTTATATAGGAGATGTAGTAGGTGAAGTGGGTGGAGTAGGTGTAGTAGGTGGTAGAGTAGGTGAAGTGGAGTGTGTAGTGGAGTAGGTGAAGTGGAGTGTGTAGTGGAGTAGGTGAAGTGGAGGTGGAGTGGTGTAGTGGGTTAGGTTTGGTGGAGTAGGTTTAGGTGTACATTAACATATACTACCACCAGTGGGACACTTTGTCACCTCATGGCATAGACATACTACTACATTCTAGCACCAACATTACTTTTTTATAGGCTATGTTTGAATTTTGGATGGATTTGTGGAGGGAAAAAACAGAAAGGGAACGGAGAAAAGATTTTAACTTTGATTTTTTTCCCTTTTACCTCTAAGCTATATTTGAATGATAGTAATCTTGAGAGGGAATATTGATTTCGGGTTTTCATAATTCCAGTGTTTGGAACAGATTGGAATAGGAATGTGATTCCAGATTATCTATTTCACAGTATATTTGGATGGTTGGACCTTTAATATTATGAATAGTAGATATAATAGATCTATTACATTTGGATGGTTGGATCTATTATATTAATGTAGCATTGATAAGCAAAATGTGATCATTTTAACATTGAAAATTGTATTACTTTTCACTCATTAAAAAGGGAACATTTATAAGATTTTCTTAAAAAATAAAATAAAATCAAAATTGAGGAGTCCAAATATATTATTTTAAAGTTGAGTAACTAAATGATAAATCTTTTGGATAATTAAAAAGAAGGAAAGAAAACAAAGAACTTTAATTGTGTCAGTGAGAGGTAAATTGTTATTTATCAACAAAAGGGATAAGTATGAAATCCCAGCTGTTTTTTTTCCTTTTCCTTTTTCTTTTTTTTTTATTTGCTGTTTTGGGAAGATATAGAAAGTGGCTTGGGAGAGAGAACCCCCTCAAACTTTTCCCAAGCAATTTAATGGTTTCTGTACTTTCAGCTCATTGAATGTGGTTTGAGAGACAGAGAAAAGAGAGAGAGGCAAAAGCAAAAGAAGAGAGTGGGAAACACTATGTAAGTAAACACTATGTAAGTTATAACAAAAGAAAAATAGTATAATTTTAATTTTTTGAGTTATAATTAAAATAAAAAAAAATGTCACTAAATATAACATGAAGCATAACTAAAAAAATTTATAAGTAATAAATAAAATAATATCATAAATAAAGAAGATGGAATATATGTAATATATCTTTTTAAATAAGTATATATTAGAAATTTTCAAGAGAATGTTAATCAATAAATCAAATGATCTGCCACCGAATTAGGGTTGGACAAGACCGATGGCTGGCCGAACCCACTCAAAATTTGCGTGACTTGAAATTATATTTTAGGTTCGTGGGTTTGAATTGGACAAATTATAAGTTAAATTATCAATAGGTTCTAATAGTTGAATTTTATTTTCATCAAGTCTTATTGAAAATAAATTTTGATAATATTGTCAGTAAAAAAAATTTTTTTGTGACAATTTTTTACATACGTCTTTAAAAATTGACAATTAGTGACTTTTTTTTGTAATGATTTTTATAAATTATCGCTAAAACTTACAATTAGTGACCTTTTTTAATGACAAATTTTTTTCATAAGACTTATTAGATAATAAATTCACTTATTAACATCTACACGTAAATACTCATAAATTTTATGAGTCCCAATTGCAATTTGACCCGAGATTTGGAAAGAGTACTTCAACACTCGCCTGATTTGACAGTACACAAATTATAGTTATAAGTTAGGTAGTTTTGAAGGAGACATCCATATCCATTGACTCAATTGGATTTTGAACTGAGGTTTTGTGGGCCTTCCCCCTTGGTCATTCAGACACTGGCAAGCTCAAATAAATTCAATCAGACTACACAGGCTTCTTAAGCAAGTGTAGTAATGCCAAAAAATTAGAGTTCGGCATCGTGTCATATCTTTTTAGGTTGTGTTGGTGTGTCTTATTGTTTTAGATTCGTGTTAAAATTAAAATTTTATTTTATGTACTTTTTAATAAATTGGATAGTGTTGTATAAAAAAATAAAGAAGTCAAGGCATTTTTTACTAAAAATAATATTAAAATATTTAACTAATTTTCTATCATGTCGTGTCAAAAATTCTCTCACATGAAAAATTGCTTTTATTTTTTTAAAACTAGGCTAACAAGCTTGTCTAGTAACAGCATACAACTGAAACAGTAAACATAGCATAGATTTTTATTTTTTTTGAACGAGAGTAACATAGCATAGATGAGCCACAACATTTCAAAAAAGAAATAAAAAATGGAAGAGCGACACCCAGAAAAGCTATAGTTTACTTCAATGACCAAAAGTGACTTTTTGACTTTTAACCAAGCTTTTGACTTTTTTAGATAAATGATTTGAGAAGTTGATAAAAAGTGACTTTTGACTTTTTTCATTAATATTTGTTTATAATGTCAAATCATAATGAAATGACTAAAGTATCCCTAGCCAATTGAAAAATTACACATTTTTACCCTTTCATTTTCCATCTATGGAGGGTAATTTCGTAATTTTTCTTTTGGCTTATAACCAACATCCCAAATCAATTTATGGCAAAAAAAAGTCACTTTTTGCGTTTTGGCTCACTTATAACCAACATCCCAAAATGAGCCAATGCTTACGAGAAAATGAGAATTGAATTCATCAAATACTCCCTCTGTTTATGATGCTTATGCTTTCTTTGAGTTCTTATTTACCATGCTGCATAAACAATTTGGGACAGAGGGAGTACGTCTTAGAGGGCTACACGGGTACAAACTAATCCAGGACCTTGTGCCAGTGCTAACACAATCCGAGCTTCTATTGCCGCTGGATTAATTATGGCTGTGAGGTGCTCGGAAGGCACAAGAAAAACATCCTAAATAAGCAATATATGAGTCAACTGAACAGAACTTTCTGTTGAAGATGAATATCGACAAAATAAAAACCTTCAACTCGCTCAGAACCGTGGAAAGTTGGGGTATTTTGTCAGAAGGAACATTCTGATACACCAAGAAAAAGTTCAATCTGCTATCGGACCAATTTTGAAGAAACAAATAAGCCATTCTTTCCCTGGTGAAGATCAATACCTGTGAGCGTCAAGATTTCACCTTCTGATATATACTCCAGAATGAATGAACCTTGCATCAGATTTGATGGGAAAAAGGAGTTCCATTGAAACAAACATTATATTACAATACCCAAAACAGTTATTACAGTTCAGTACATACAGGTGATTATGATCACACAAATGAACAAATCATATGGGACTACTAAATGTTGAAATATCTCTACAAATCTGTACTCTGAAAGCTACGAAGTTCTAACTTAATTTTACCTGTACACAATGTGAAGAACAAAGAACCGGAACTTGCTATCAAACTCTGATCAAATTTCTGAAATTTCACATTTTCAACCGTTAGTCAATTATATCCGCATCTATGCTTCTGTCTTCCTGCTGCATAGTCTCCATTCAAATAATCCTACAAATCAGATAAGATGATACGGAAAATTCTACCAGACAGATTGAATTGAGGACTGAAACAACCCTTTGGGCAGTTGATGGCAGGAGAGAATGATTCAACATCCAAAAACATTCTGCATTACATACACACGAGTCAACATCATCTCCGAAATCGACATTTATGAATCCACATCACATATGAGCTTGCTAGATATCCATCACTGCATTTGGAGAAGAATATCCCATGAGCTTATGAAGTGATGAGCCTCCTCTCGGTGGCAATTCCTCAATTTCCGAGGATAATTTCTTCCCTTCGGACATCTTGGATGGAGACCCTGTTACCTCATGATTCCTGTATTTGTTTCGAGACTCATTGAAGATAGGCTGCTTTTTTCTCTCTTCCATAGGGTCAAAAGAACTACCAGATGACGTCTTTCTGTTGTTTGAATCCCTTTTGAGGGAGTGGAATGGGAGCACGGCAGAGAATGGCTCTCCTTCGGTAGAGCAACTTTTACAGAAGGACGGTCCATAATCATCAGAATATGAAACAGGGTCTGCATGTGGGCAATTACCGCCATAAGGCACCGATGCGAAGTTCCTTCCATTGTTGGCATCGGTGAAATCATCAACCTCACTGGGCGGAGGGGCAATAGCATCAGGAGTATAATCAGTGTATCGAACTATATGAGTCCCATTTTGAAGCAAAAACTTTAATATAACCGAACAAGCACTGCATCTCAGCTGAAGAGATCTCCTTTTGAAGAGAAGGAAATCTGTAGGCAGTTGCAGCATCTCTGAGCAACGATAACAGACGAGGAAAGGGGCTCCACCTGCTACAGGACGGACGTATCTCTTCACTAATTGACGCCGATCCCTGGAATATTTCTTCACCTCATGATTTTTATGCCAGTGATCACCAGACTTTGCAGCACAGCTCCGTAAGGAAAACTCGGAGCTTTCATAACACCGGGGACTCAAGGGACTAGAGCGGTAGAGATCGTAAAATTGCTGATTCGAGTGGGAAGTATGCTGGGTATTTTTACAGCAAATGTGTGTAGACAACGGGGCTGAACACTTCCAATCTTGGGGACAGCAATGTATACAGGAGTGATTGGCTTGGTGTCTGGTGACTGTGGCCTCTGCCGAGAAAGGTATTCGTGTCTGCCAGTTTTTTCCTTGATTGCATCTTCTGGGGTATCTAGCACATCTTAAATCATGGCATATTTCTACCTCTGGTGCTGCGTGATCACAGCATGAGGGAATCGAATTCTGCATCCTGGCAACTCCAGGAGATCTTGCAACAGCCTTCCCTTCTGAAATATGTGTTCTGTTAAGCTGATCTTGCAGTTCAAAAACAATTTTTAGCAGTTTGATGTTCTCCTCTTTTGGGTTTTCGGGCTTGTTAGGCAAATGATAGCTTGTACTGCATTGGAACTCATTCTGTCCATAATTAGAAGGGCTGCCATTTTCATAGTCAACTGGGGAACCTCTTGAATAGAAGGGCACCCTAGATTGACGTTCATCCGTCCCAAATTTCATCCTGCTCCTAACTGGATGGCCATGTCTTGAGGGTTCCAGCAATTCATCTCGACACCATTGGCTTTCTTTCATGCCATAATGCTTCTTTTCTGATGAAATTGATGTGGGATTCCAAGCTTGATGTTGCATTTTTGGATCCCTTCTGGGCATTGCTTTGGTACTGAAATACTCTGCCTCCTTGAATTTTCTTTTGGATAGTTGTGGATGCTGGATGGGGACTTGATCATCAGTTTCATCAAAGGAAGAGACACTGCCATCATAAGGATAATAGCTACTGGTTGTTGGAGATTTACACATATCTCTGAGCGTATCACTGAACTCGGAGCTAGGGTTTGCTAGTGCCGTATTTTCCAATGTATCAATAGAAGTTACACGGTCAAAACCATCATGTACTCTTTTCTGAAACTGCTCCAGCTGTTTACTGTGAGGAGACATAAGATTATCAGTCAAAATGCTTTCACTCGACAGCCTCTGAGCAGCAATGATTGAATCCCTCGGACTAGCAGCCAGCAGGTTTTCCACACCCGAGCTTCCAACTATCAGACTCTTACAATTCTCATCACATTTTGTATTTATTCCGACCATTGGAGATGACTCTTCAATTTCCTGACAAATAAGCTCAGTTGATGAAGCAACTTCACCATGAAAGTTTACACCTCCAGGATGCTTCCCATTGCAATACCCATATTCATTTCGATTCATTCCATTGTTTTGTTCCAAACAATTCCTATTTTCATCCACTTCACTATGAACTCCAGCTAGCCATGATGAATCTTCACCCTCATGATGATTAAGCTCAGATGCTGAAGCAACTTCATCAGAAAAGTCATCATCTCCAGGATGCTTCCCATTGCAATCTCCAAATTCACTTTGATTCCTTCCATTGTTTTGTTCCAAACAATTCTTAGTTTCATCCACATCACTACGAGCTCCAGCTACCAGTGATGAATCTACACTCTCATGACAGTTAAGCTCAGTTGATGAAACAACTTCATTCGAAAAGTCTTCACCTCCAGGATGCTTCCCATTGCAATCTCCAAATTCACTTTGATTCCTTCCATTATTTTGTTCCAAACAATTCTTATGTTCATCTACTTCACTATGACATCCAGCAACCGGTGATGACTCCTCAGTCTTATGATGATTAAGCTCAGTTGATGAAACAACTTCATCGGAAAAGTTTTCACCTCCAGGATGCTTTCCATTGCAATACCCATATTCATTTTGATTCCTTCCATTGTTTTGTTCGAAACAATTCCTATTTTCATCCGCTTCACTATGAGCTTCAGCAACCTGTGATGACTCCTTACTCTCATGATGATTAAGCTCAGTTGATGAAACAACTCCATCAGAAAATTTAACACCTCCAGGCTGATTTCCATTGCAATATCCATGTTCATTTTGATCCCCTCCATTGTTTTGTTCCAAAGAATGTATATCTTGCTCAACGTCTGTTTCTGCCATGGCTGCTGGTGATGACTCTTCGTTTCCATGGCAAGTGAGCTCTGTAGAAAGTTCACTCGAAAAGTTCATATCTCCAGACTGCTCCCTATTGCTATCCTTAATTTCATTTTGACCGCTCCCGCTGTTTTCTTCCAATGGCAGTTCTTCCGTGGAAGGAAGCGATTCCTCTTGTCTTAAGCTTCCAGTTTCTCTGTCTTCAGATGCTTGCTGTAACTCATATTTCTGGGCAGCATCTGTTTCATGTATGAGTGATCCTGTGCCCTTGGTGTCATTTTTGCGATTTTTAGCTGCGTGAAAAAAAAAAGGATTGTAACAAATCAATTCAAACTTAAAGAGAAAGCTATTTGAGAAAGATGGGAAACCCACACAAAATATAAATAAATAATTCCAAAAAAAATAAGGTTGCGTTTGCTTCACAAGAAATTTGCAAAATAAGATTATTAATTCCAAAAATTTAGAAAAAGCTATTCCAAAATTTAAGAAAAATATTGGGAAACAACTTCCAAGACTTTGATCTTAATGTTATTTTTAGATTGAACCAAAAGTTATAAAAAGGAATCTCAAAACAAGAATCTCTCTCTCTCTCTCTCTCTCTCTCATCCAAAAAAAATGTCTTCGTCTTCCTTTGTCCTTCAACGTCTCTCTATCTATGAATAATTTTACATATACTAAGCCTCCGTTTGGGAAGTTGGTTTTGAGGCTTTTTGGACTAAAATAGCCACAAAAAATAAAATAGACTTTTTAGCTCAATAAGAAAAAATATCACATCCAACCTATAATCATTACATTCTTTCTCTCACAAAAAGGCCAAAAAAGCCAAAAACCCTTCCCAAACTATGCTTTTTAGCTCCAGACTAAAATAGCTAAAAAAGACAAAAAACCAACCCGCTTCCCAAACGAACTCTAACAATCTTACTAAAAATACAAGAAGTCAAACGTAATTGGTTGTTAAAAAAATGATGATACTTAAGCATTCAATGATGTGGTGACATGTACGTTTTTAGTAAGATTGTTAATAAGAATTTAAGTAGATGTAGCATTACTCCTCTATCTATATGTGCATACAACATTTGCTTGAATTTTTTAAATTTTGAATTATCCAAATTACTAAAAGTGAATAAAAAAATTTCTAGGCAAATTTCTAATATTAAACAAGCAGTTGGGAAATCGGAAAAAAAAAAATCGTAAAAATAAAGCATAAGGAAGAGGAAAAGAAAGGGAGAAAAAAGAATATTATTACCTTGGAGAATTGTGCCACATCCTCCACACTGATACACCGGAATGTTCGCAAACTCCGGGAGAACGTGATTGCACCTACCACATCTAACCAGCCGAAAATTAGTTGGCAACTGACTAGCCATGCTCTCACTATCTCCAATCATCTGCATTAGTAAATAAAGATGGCTTTTATTTTATTGCATGATTATGAGATAATAACAAGCAAATCATATGGTACATAGACTAAATCTACAAGGATTTGCTGACCTCAATGAGGCATCACCATTGTGACCCTCAAAGAATGTTCAATTGCTAAAAAGCACTCGGATAATTTTTTATGCAACAGAATTTAAGATTTCTCTTCCAATCCAAAATAACTCACTGAACAAAGGAATAGCTGCGTATAATTATGCATACTGTTAACTGAAACTTCATCTACACAGATGTGGCTGACTTTATGAGGCATCACAATATATAAACATCACAGGATGGTCAGTTTGTCAAAAGCACTTACTAAACAATTAGAATTTGCGGCTTTAGTAATATAAATACCACTTTGGAAAGAATGATTATACAAATTACAATAACGCTATAGAGTATGCATACATCAAAATTTATGATGTTCAAAGTGAAAGTTGCCAGATCACATCAGCAGCTAAACTTCTTAACATAAAGGGGCTAAAAGGTGGAGTAGAGGAAGAAAGGGCAGGGTTGAAATTGGAACTACTTAGAATAATAGAGATTAGACTAGATAATCAGGGGGAAGATCGAGTAATCCTATTTGTGAAAGGTTTAGTTGAGGGCTTTGCAGATTCATCAACCAATCAAATCACTCTCATGCAGATGAATGCAAAAGGAAATTGTGCACTATAGGATTATAGCAACGAGCCTCAGGAACAGATTGAAGAAAACTAATGGAATATACATAGAATGACCATAAAGTACCCAATATAAGCAACATTCTTCAGGTTTAGTGTAAAAGCTGAAGACTCTAAGAAGGAGTAATAACCAATGAATAGAGATGAACATGTCAACAAAATTAAGAAAGGAAGCATGTAATGATAAGTCCACTAATGAAACTTTGAGAAGCCACTTTGGAATTTAAATACAACAGATTTCGTGTCCTCTTATTCATTCTTGGCACCTCTATTTTTGCTAAGGTACTTTTGCTAATGATTAATTGCTTAGTACTTGTTCTGTTGTTCACCCCCTTAATTTTATTTTTCATTGTTTTGGTAAGTTATGGTCGCCTTTTCAATTATTTGGCTATCAGTCTTTAAGTAGAAAGGTTTAGTTCGAAAACAATCACTTCCATTTCCCGGTTTGCTGAAGTTAACTTCATTTGTACACCTCAATCTCCCTACAGAGACACGTGCTAAACACATCATCAGAAATAACTATATTTTTAGCACTCATTGCAAATGCAGAAGGTAGCTTGGGTTTACTTATAGTATAGAGTCGAAATGATTCCTTCTGCTACCCATTTGACAATTTTTAATATGGAAACCCTAAATTTTTAGGACTTTGATCATTTCCATTCCATGTATGTAATGAAGGATTTCCATTACATATCAAATGACTGTGAAATAGGAATTCAAATTTGTAATTATTTTAAATTAAAAAATATCATAATACTCACCATTAGATGATGTATGGATCTCTCCACTACAAATATGCAATGGAGAGAATCACAATCCAAATTGTTCTCCGATATCTAATTAAGGAAATCAAGTGATCACTCATTAAATATCAGAAACCGCAACATGGTATTGACCAAATTATACTTTTATCAAAGAATTCATGCCTAAATTAGTAATCCGATGTAAATCATCAAATCAATTACCACAAAAAAAAAAAAAAAACAAAACAAAACGAAGATCATATTAGAAGGATGTGAAAAAATGATAATTGGCTAAACGGTAAAGAGGGGAAAAAAAAAAAATCTTATTGGTCAAGCCACTACAATCCAGTCAACAGGCACACAAAGCCCAATATTTATTTACATGTAGCTTTTAATTTTTTATTGTTTAAAAAAATATAGAACAACCAGGAACAAAGCGGGGGCCAAATTCAAACAGAATAATAATTCTACAAAAGAATTGAAATTGAGCTCTAAAGTATTGCAATAAATGGTCAAACTTGGTGTATAAAATTATATAAATTAATCTAACTGCTTTAACAAAATCAACAAGCCCAAGAGAGATCATCCAAATTCATCTTTTCCTTGGCCGTGTTTGGTTGGAAATTTGGGAAGAAATTTAGAAAGAGAAAAGAAAAAATCTGTAAAATATGAATAAAATATATTTTCATTTCCCGTAATTTCACAAAGCTCTTCCTTTCTTTTTTCGAATCCTATCCAAATTTTCCAACCAAATAAAATAAAATAAAATAAACAATCTCACTTGATCAGAGCCTATAACATCTAATAAACCATTAAAGTTTCATTTCCTACTCTCCATTGAGACTAGACTACCCAGGACTTAAATTCAGTAATTACTGATATATATGTGTGTGTGTGTGTGTGTGTGAGAGAGAGAGAGAGAGAGAGAGAGAAATGGGGATTATATGGAGTTGGATTAGTGAGATCGAAACCTGGACACACTTAGCAAAATCGAGGTGATAAAAGATGATTGAAAAAAACACATACCATTTTTGGAACCGTGATTTTGAAGATCCACAATTGTCAAAAGAAGAACTGAATCGGCATATATTATTAAAACGATGGCTAAACCAACAAGGACGATGTATATATATATATATAATCAGAAAAAGGGAAATGAGAGAAATTTGTGTTTGAAAAGACGAACCTCCAAAACAAAGAAGGTACAGAGAAATTTGTGAAAATCGTTCTTTTGCAGCAAAGTCTACGATCTTCTTCGATATATCAAAATCTCTCTCTCTCTCTCTCTCTCTCTCTCTAAAAAGTCCTAGTGTCGTGTTTGGGAAGCTTGGTTTTGTTGTGAGGCCCTGTTTCGACCTTTTTAAAAGTCGTTAGCTGACTGATGGTTCCGTCGCTCTATCACTCTCTCTCTCTCTAGAATTCTCTCTCTATGCAGTTGTGATGGGAAAACAGACACGGAGGAGAGGGAGATAGGAATTGAAGTCGGCGCCAAGACTGTTTAAAAAGCCAGTGACCTTGACGTGTGAAACGGCTCGTTATAAGATGTCATATATGACATTATTTACCGGCAGGGGTTAGTTGAGTGGGTAAAATCTTTAAATCCCTCCCATAATGTTTGGGTTTGAGTCTGCATATAACTTTTTGTTGGGATTAAATATATGTGGTGTTTGGAAACTTGGGTTTGAGATTTTTTTTAATTTTTTTTTTAGAAAATTAAAAATAAATACATTTAAATAAAATATCATATTTAATTTTATAATTATTTTATTTTTTTTCTTACAAATATCACATCTAATCACAAAAAATTCAACTATTTTCTCAAATACCAAAAAATTTGTATCCAATAATATCTTATAACTAAAAAAACTTACATAAAAACTCACTTCCCAAACACCCACATAATCAGCTTGTTTGTTTTCATTTTTCAGAAAACACTTTTCAGAAAATTCTATTTTCTTATTTTTTGTGTTTTTTTGTTTTTACTGAATTTTTTTAATATTTTAAACAAATTTTTTACTTTTAAAACACACCTAACATAAATACACTTAAAAATTAAAAAAAAATTGTAAAAAAAATCTTTTAAAAATTCACTAAATATCAAAAATACAAAAAAATACAAGAATTTAGTATATTTTTTATATTTTTATGTAGAATTCAATACATTTTTTGTATTTTTATGTATTTATTAATTTTTTAAAATATTTTTTAGCAAATTTTTTACTTTTTAGATACATCTAACTAAGGTGCATTTAAAAAAGTAAAAAAAAATGTTTAAAATTTAAAAAATATTCACTAAAAACAAAAGAATACGAAAACCAAAAAACTTAGTTTTTAAAAAACTTAATCCAGAAGACTCAAACCAAACACACTGAATGGTGTTTGAGAAATTGATAAAAAAAAAATTATTTTTTTAATTTTTTTGGCTTTTTGTGTTAAAATTTGGTTTTTTGTGATTTTTTTTTTTGTAAAAAAGTTAAAAAACCAAAAAATTAAGGTTGCATTTGGTAGAATTTTCTAAATATAATTTGAGAATAGGAGTTGTATTTTTAATTTGTAAGTTTTGAAATTATGATTTGAGTGTAGAAAATTTGTTTGGTAAATGAGTTTTGAAAAGAGTTTTGAATTAAGTGGGAAATTTTTTATGTGACATATGATATTTGAAAAAAAAAATTCACTGTTCTAGTCAACCGGCCGGACGATCGGTGGGACGTCCGGTTAGTCCAAATTTTCCCGCCTTCGATCGAGTTTTCAAAAGTTCGGGTGGAATTAATTTTTGAAAGGTGTAAACAAACACCAACTGTGAACATTACACTAGAACTAAAGTTCCAAAACACAAACAAACAGAGCCTAATTTTTTTAGCAAGTTCCCAAATTATCCCATACTCTTTAGCGCTTGAAGCACACAGGAACCTAAGTCTCAGCCCCGACGTAGGTGCAGTGAGATTCTCTGCAAATATATTGTAGGTGCTATGAGGTAATATTCCATGACAGATATGTTGGAGTAGCCTATCTGTATATTCATTTTTTTCGGCAAAAAAAAAATTTATGACATTATTTGGTATAAATTAAATAAGTGCACTTATTTAGATATTTAGAATCATATTATTTCTGTATTTTTTTACACTTTTTTTCATAAAAAAGTTAAAAAATATACTTATTTATGTCATTCCAAACAATACCTATATAAGAGCATCTGCATCAGACTTAATAAATTTTGAATCAAATTATAGCAAAAAAATTTGCTGCTATATTTTATTAACATTTTCTATTCTAAAATTTAATTTTATAAAATATTCATTTTCCTTTCTAGTTAAATAATTAAAACAAAAATCAACAATCAACAAAGCAAAATATGACATTGGGTCTAATAACTACACCTTAGAGTGTAGTAAGTGGGAGGCCAAGAGTTCAAGCTGATAGAGCAACGGCGACCCTTTAGTTGTAATCTCAATTTACTAACAAACTAACGCTATCTCAAAAAGGAGAAAAAATAAAAATAAAAAATATTAGGTGATCGATCGGGTGGTCGACACTTGGCGAAAATTATCCAATTTTGTCAAATGTAAGATATTGGGTGGTCATCAAGTGGATGACTGAATGATCAACCACTTGGTGAAAATTACTTAATTTTGCTAAATGAAAGAGAAATATTTTTTTTAGAATGAATAATAAAATAGTATATAACTTGTAAATAATACATCTTTGCATCAAGCAATTTGTTGTAACAATATTAAAATTTGTTTTCCTATACCTAGCCTAATGCAAGAGTGTTTTTAACCATTGTCGGACTAATATAACCTCAAAACTAATATAGCAAGAGTCATGTTGATGCTGATGCTGATGCTCTAAATATACATTTTCTTCCCACAAATCGTTATTTTGATGCCGAGCTATCTTACCAAGCCAACTTGAATTCCTTTCACGATTGAACCATGCAGTTCGGGTTCATTGGACTCACCACAAGTTATGTTTCGATAATCTAAATTGTTTAATGTGTAAAACTCGTCGAGTATTTCATTATTAAAAAAATCATATTGATCGGATCTCGGTAGTTATTTGATCGAAATAGATTTCTATCAACAATTTATTTTGAAAATCATATTTACTGTTGATGGAAATATGATTTGATTAAGTGACTATTAATATCCGATCAACGTGATTTTTTACAATGATAAAGTATTGGATGAGTTTTACATGTTGAATAATTTGGATTATCGAAATAGAACTTGTGGCACGTCTCCACAAGCCTAACAACATGTTCTAGTTCAATTTTGAACCAGAAAGAAGACTGATCCTTCTTTTCATATTCAAAATTAAGACAAAATAAAATAAAAATAAATATGAAGTGATAATCAAATAACGACAACTTTAGTTCTTTTTTTGGCATTTACTAAGGTGGTGTTTGGTAACACTTTGGTATCGTTTGGTAACACTTACATTTTTAGTTTTCTGTTTATATTTACAAAAATTTAAAAAACTCAAATAAAAACTTATTTGGTAAAATTTTTGATTTATAAATAAGTGGTCTCAGTTTATAAATTTGGCTAAAAAATGAAAACACAAAAAAAAAATTTCCGTTTTGAGTTTTTAATTTTTTTTTTTACCACCCAACACTAATCACCACCCGTCACCATTTTCCACCACCGTCTTTCGCCACCACCACTCACCACTCACCCCCCACCACCACCTACCACCACCACTCACCAACCACCTGCCACCACTACCCACCTGTCACCCACTCGCCACCACCACCCACCCCTCGCCGTCGCCACCGCCACCGCCACCACCATCACTACCTACCACCCACCTGGCATCCACCCGCACCACCCACCACCCGTCACTACCATTCCACCGCCTGCCACCACCACCCGCTACCTACGTGCCACCACCACTCACCACCCACTTGCCACAACCATCCACTACCTGCCACCACCAGCCACCCACCCGCTACCACCACCGACCACCCACCACCCGCTACCACCCATCACCCACCCATCTCCCTTGAGTAAACAGTGGGAAGAGTGTAGAAAGATGAGCATTACCTTTCTAATTCCTAGGATGACTCTGCTAAGGAGAGTAAAGTCCCACTAGGATTGTGCAAACCATCTCACTTGGTTAGTAGTGAGTAGGGTGAGTGATTCCTAGGAGGATTCTTATGAGGAAGAGTTGGAATCCTACTAGGAGTGTGCCAAGCGGAATCTATAAAAGCTCATAGCAAGACCTCTGTACAGATGATCCGCATATGTATCTTGTTGGGAGGAGATAGGGGATGTACTCCATGGTTTG